TATTTATACATAATCTTACCTTTTTACTTATTTCCTCCAACTCCTTTCTATTTTCTTTCTATTTTCTCTCTTTTCTCTTCTTCTTCTTTCTCCCTTCTCTCTCCTGCCGATTCTCTCTCAAATTTCATATCTCTTCTTTTGTTGTTTTTTTCTATTTATATTTATCATCTCTTACTATAATTACTACAATACCCCTCATTATTTATTCCAACTTTTAAAACTTCAAGGCTTTATTGTATTTTTCAATTCATTAATTCAGAAAGTTACAAATATTTTAAAATTAATAATATAAAATGATAAGATCTTATGAAGCCAAATCCCCAACAAATCAAATGTTAAAAAATAAAACTACAAAAAAGCAATTACACAAAGGGATTTAAAAAATAATTAAAAGAATGAGGGTAAAAATTAAAAGAAAAATAGAGGGAAAACAAAAAATTTCAATTGGATAGTTAAATTGAATTAAAAAATAACTTTAACAAAAAGAAAAAGAAATCAAAATAATGAGGGTCAAATTGAAAAAAAATTAAAACAACAAAAACTTTGATTAAATGATGAAATTTAGAGCCAAAATTAAAACAATTAACAAAAGAGTCAGAAAAAAATCAAAATCAAAAGAATAAGGACTGAGATGAAAAAAAAACATATGAGAAACTGTAATTGAAGAATTAAATTGAAAATAAATAAAACTTTTATAAAAATAATATGAACAAAATAAGAAATAAAAAGAATGAGGACTTAAATTGAAAAATCAAAGGCAAATAAAACAATTTAGCACTTTATTTTGTAGAAGAGAGAGAGAAAAAACATTAGTGATAATTTGGCTACCATACACCATCACTTGTCGCACCTTGTGAAGGAAAACATGGTGGCACATTCAAAGATATGGTGAAAGGTTGGGTTTGTTCATTATATAATGTTGAACACATCATTTAAATGATGGAGACATCACTCACTCGCTAATGTGTGATTAATTTGTATAAGTAGCTTTCTTAAGTAAAAATTTAAAAGTCAATGTGAAAAATATCAAAATGCCTCTTATAACCCTAATTATAACCCAAAAACCCGTGTGAAAATACAAAAACACTCATGTATGTAAATCTTATTTTTTTTCTTTTTTAAGGTCAAATGAATATTTTAACTATACATAAAAAAAACCAAACAAACCTTCTCCAACATCCTAATATTTGTTTGATCTTAGGGTGTAAAAAAAATATTTTTATTGTTTAATAGTTTATGAAAAGTAAAATAAAAAAACCCGCAGTCAACAATTCTAAAAAAGCCTAAAATCTGAAAAAACCCTATAAATTGGTAAAATATGAATCCCCCCTCCAGTAATATCCTTGTATTAATTATATTTTTATTTTTTATTTTTAAAATATATTTTATTAAATCATCTCAGTTTTATTTATGGCTAATAGTTATTAATGTGCATGATCAATTAAGTTCCTAATAAGTTGACCCAGATATAAATTACAATTAAATAAATTAAATAATTTAATTTATTATCAATTCAAAAATTAATTAATTTATATTTAAAGATCAAGTGCATCATTTAGTAATGTGTCATAATCCTCTAAATTTTAGAAAAGTCATTAGTAGTTTGACTTAAACTTTTTCAATTATTGATTTCTGAATATAATTAAAATCTTTTCATCAATAATATTTTGATTTAAAATTAAAGTATGGAATATATCTGTCATGTTAAATCATTTTTGTTCTTTACATAATCGTAATTGATCGTTTGAATAAAATTATAAATTCTTTTCAAATCTCATTCCACTTTGGTTAAGAATTTCTTAGTTAATACTATTTGAAAATAAATGTAACATTTTTTTCAATTCATATATAATAATGAATCTTCTTTTAATCACCCAAATACATTTGTATAGTTCATGTTATACCCAATACATGCCCTTTCGTTACCTCGATTAAGATAACATGATTAAAACACAATATTATCTATATAAGATAACTTAGTGATTTCAAGTTTAAAATCACTTACATAACTGTAACATTAATCTTTCTATAAACATAGGTAATCTCTCTATATAAAATTCTCATGCAAGTTAATTTAGTGTACATGTTTTATGATAAGAATCTACATATTAGTTTTAAGTATTTTTTTGTACTTTAACTTATAAGGACAACTGCTTTTTTTTATAAAGGAAAGAACATAACATGTACTAGTCTATGACTCTAATGAATGTTAAATATTTAAGAAATCATTAATCATGAATATTTCAGAAACAATGCTTTGATGCAATAGAATTCATATAATTATAATAATTTTATAATTTTCTTTATAAAATATTTTTGTCTCATGAATTTTATTTTTATTCTAGATTTTATAAATTAAATATTAGATTTATTAATATAATATTATATAAATATTAAAAATAAATTAAGCCTTGATTAATAATAAATATATATTTATATAAATATAATAATATCATGTATCATATAATTGGTTATAAGATTTATTAAACTAATATTTATAGTAGAAAATATTAATTAGAAAAATTAACACATTGAAGTTAACTATTAGATACTACAAATGGAATCAAACGCTAAAATTCTAAATCATGAAATGTTCTTCCACATTTTAAGAAACATAAAACTATGATATCAACGTATGGCTGAAAAACAAAGAAACTTACCATGATTTTGGCATCCGTATTGTTTGTCACTTTAACACTACCAAAGGTCAAAAGTTTTCCTTCATGGTGAAGAGGGTAATGAGCCATCCACGAAGCATATATATATATATATATATAGTAGTGTTTAGTATATTGGATAATATTAACTGGATTGAACTAGACACGACTAAATCAAACTAAATAAATAAATATTATGTCTTGTGTTTGGTATGCATAGAACAAAATAAAATTATATATTGTAATAATATCATTGTCTTATTCTAAATTTTTAATTTATTTTGTTTTCATCTGATATATATATATATATATATATATATATAAAAGAAATCATCATTAATATCTATTTAAATATTATTTTATTTTGAACAAACTCCACAATTTTTCTTATGTCAATCAATATGTTATTTTAGTAATTAACTAACTTGCAAACACTTATAATTATTTCATATAAACTTATGTTTGAATTTTTGAAAATTCTTGTTTCGTAGTAGCAGCAACAACCAAGATGAAATAAAAAAACTCTTCATTGAGAATAATTCTATATTATTTTTCTGTTCTATGATATTTAGCACTTGAAGTTTTAGGTCCAACCCAATTTATTGAGGTCAAACTAGTAGTGTATTTGCGCACGATCATGTGATAATTTCTGAAATATATTTTTATTAAATTACACAGCAAATAGAATAATTTTTCCAAAACTTCAAACAATTTAAATTATATCAAAAATATTTTTTAAATTTAAATTTTATTTCCTTTTAAATACATTTTTGAATAAAAATCTAAAACAATTAAAATAAATATTCAAAAAAATTAAAATGATTGAGATAAATCAGAAAAAAATATTTTCTTTACCAAAATCATCCTTCTTTATTTTGTTTTTAATTCCTAGCAAACAAAATGTTTTTTTATTAGAAGTATTGTTTTAAATTAATCTCATATAAAAATAAAATCTTAATAAGAAAATAAAAAAATAACACAAGGAAAAGTTTGACCTAGCAATATAAAATAATTAATTTGATAAAATTATATAAAAAACTAACTTAAATAATAATAATAAAATATTCTTTATTAATATTCATGAGCAATTCTTTTCAAAAAATTCTGCATATTAGATTTATATAAATTATTTTACAAATTAATTAACAACATAACCATAACAAAACCCCAATATTATTTTAAAAAATAAATAATTGAATGAATTTTTAATTTTTATTGTAATAATCTTAATTAAAAAATTATATTATAAAACAAATAAAAAAAGATTAAGGCTAGGCACGTGTCCCCAACAAACCAAGATGCGCTTTTTTTTTTTTTTGTTTTTCTATATAAGTTGGTGAACAACATGTTTTTCAAGGGGAAGAAAAGGCAGGAGAGGATACATGCCCAATGGGGGTAGACCACCTGTCATCATTTAGCTCAAGCTTCGGCTCCCGGAAGTTTCAGAAAAATTGAATTTCAGCAAACGAAATTAAAATAATATTTATTTTAATTGTTTTAGATTTTCCAAAAAACTCATTTCTCACATGAAAATACCTAAAAATCAAACTAGAAAACTCAATAACCTCAAAAACGACCCCAAAGACTCCAAAATGCATAAAAATTCAAAATCAAATTAAAAAACTTTTAGAGATTTGTTTTTTTTTTCTAATATAGTTAAAAGTAAATACCACCTTCATTAATTTTTTTAATTTTAAACAGCATTTATAATAGTAAAATCAAAGTTATTAATTACCAAGGTCCGATAATCTAAGAGTTTTATCTCTTCAACTTTTCTAGAAATTCTTTTATTTTTTAATTTTCAAAAATTAAAATGTAATAAAAATAAAACAAAACTAAAAGCAATAATTTAAAAGAACAAGGATGGAAAATAAATAAAAAAACTTGAGAGATTCAAATAAAACTTTTATATTTGTGATAAAAAAAGCCTTGTTTCTTTTTTTGTATTAAATTTAATTCTTAATCTTTTATTTTTATTTTTAGAAAGAAGCTAAAACTATATTTTATAAAATTGGCTATTAATTTAACATCAAGACATTTAATGATACATCAAGAAAGCAAGAATATTTTAAGGTATGTAATTGAAAAGAAATAAAGTGATGTAACTGAATTAAAAAAATTACAAGCTTTAAATACTAAAATGGTAAAAAAACACAATAGTTTTTCGTTTCAAGTTTTAAAAGTGAAGTCGATGTTATATTTTAAAAATAATTTTTATTTATAAATATATTTAAAATATATATTTTTTAAATATATTTTTAATATTAGTATAAAAAATTATTTTTAAAAAAAAAATTAAAATGTAGTGAAACTTGGGGGAAAAAGCACAAGGGCACGAAGCTGGTTTCTAAATAAATATTGATTATAAGAGACTGAGAGAGAGAGTGAGAGTCATTTCTAGAAGAGAAATATCTCTCGTCTCTATCGATCGAGAACCACTTGCTTTTCGATCAATCAAACCCCCGATCTCTCCTCTTAAATCCTACCGCCGCCGCCACCATGAAACGCTCGATCGACGATATTGGCGTCTCCAAAAGTAAAAGCAAACCTGTCTTCTTAACCAAAGCTGAACGTGAAACTATAGCCCTTCAACGCCGCCAAGAAGAAATCGAACAACAGAAAAAACGCCAACAACTCATGCTCTCCCAATCCCGCCCCTCCAGTTCTGACACCGAAAAACCTCCCTCCGATTCTGACCGCCGTGACAGAGACAGAGACCGTGACAGAGACAGGGACAGGGACAGGGACAGGGATAGGGACAGAGACAGAGAGCGCGATCGAGAGAGAGACAGAGACAGAGAAAGAGAACGCGAGCGCGAGCGCTCCTCGCGGCGCAACAGAGAGCGCGAACGTGAAGAGGATGTAAAGGCGCGTGAACAAGCCAGATTGGAGAAATTAGCCGAGAGAGAGCGAGAGAAGGAGCTGGATGCCATTAAAGAGCAATATTTAGGGTCCAAAAAGCCTAAAAAGAGAGTAATTAAACCTAGTGAGAAGTTTCGCTTCTCTTTCGATTGGGAAAACACGGAAGATACTTCTAGGGATATGAATGTTTTGTATCAAAACCCTCATGAGGCACAACTTTTGTTCGGTCGAGGGTTTCGGGCTGGTATGGATAGGAGAGAGCAGAAAAAACTTGCTGCAAAGAATGAGAAGGATATGAGAAATGAATTTCGGAAAAAAGAAGGCCTGGACGAAAAGCCAGAAGAGGCGGCTGCTCAAAAATTGAAGGAAGAAGCTGCTGATATGTATGATACTTTTGATATGCGTGTTGATAGACATTGGTCGGAGAAGAAGCTTGAAGAAATGACTGAGAGAGATTGGAGGATATTTAGGGAAGATTATAATATTTCTTACAAGGGCTCAAAGATTCCGCGGCCGATGAGGAGTTGGGAAGAGAGTAAGTTGAGTAGTGAGTTGTTGAAGTCAGTGGAGAGAGCTGGGTATAAGAAGCCGTCACCTATTCAAATGGCAGCGATTCCTTTGGGATTGCAACAGCGGGATGTTATTGGGATTGCTGAGACTGGTTCTGGGAAGACTTGTGCTTTTGTTTTGCCTATGCTGACTTATATTTCTAGGTTGCCTCCAATGAGTGAGGAGAATGAGGCTGAAGGGCCTTATGCAGTTGTTATGGCACCTACGCGTGAGTTGGCACAGCAGATTGAGGATGAGACTGTTAAGTTTGCACATTATTTGGGTATTAAAGTTGTTTCTATCGTTGGTGGGCAGTCTATTGAAGAACAGGGGTTTAGGATTAGGCAAGGTTGTGAGGTGGTTATTGCTACTCCAGGTCGTTTGATTGATTGTTTGGAGAGGCGTTATGCAGTGTTGAATCAGTGTAATTATGTTGTGCTTGATGAGGCTGATAGGATGATTGATATGGGTTTTGAACCACAGGTTATGGGTGTGTTGGATGCAATGCCATCGAGTAATTTGAAGCCAGAAAATGAGGATGAAGAGCTTGATGAGAAAAAGATTTATCGCACCACCTATATGTTTAGTGCTACTATGCCACCTGCTGTGGAGCGACTTGCTAGGAAGTACTTGAGAAATCCTGTTGTGGTCACTATTGGTACTGCTGGAAAGGCCACCGACTTGATTACTCAACATGTGATAATGATGAAGGAATCAGAGAAGTCCTACAGGTTGAATAGATTGCTTGAGGAAGCTGGAGATAAGACCGCAATTGTCTTTGTTAACACTAAAAAGAATGCAGATATGGTGGCCAAGAATTTGGACAAGCTTGGTTTTCGTGTCACAACTTTGCATGGTGGGAAGTCCCAGGAGCAGAGGGAAATTAGCCTTGAAGGTTTTAGAACCAAAAGATACAACGTCCTTGTTGCAACCGATGTTGCAGGTCGTGGTATTGATATACCTGATGTGGCCCATGTCATTAATTATGATATGCCTGGAAATATTGAAATGTATACTCATCGTATTGGACGAACAGGCCGTGCTGGAAAGACAGGTGTGGCAACAACATTCTTGACTCATGGGGACACGGATGTCTTTTATGATCTCAAGCAAATGCTTATTCAGAATAACAGTCCTGTGCCTCCTGAATTGGCAAAGCACGAGGCTTCAAAATTCAAGCCAGGAGGAATTCCTGATAGACCTCCTAGACGAAATGACACGGTTTTTGCTCACTGAGACACTTGGGAGTTTCAGAAGATCATGTAACAAAATCTATGTGCAATATAGTGGTATCAGAAACTTCCGTGGTTACTGCTCTACCAGTGGGACCGAGTTTAAGTCGGGGATTTGACAATCTCAATTTATTCAACGAACTTCCGTTTCCATATATTTTCTTGATACAGAGTTTCTGCCTTTATCTGGTAATAGAAGATTTCACGTTGATATTAGTTGAGTGTCATATTTGAACTCTCATTTCTTTTTCCTGAATAATTGTGTACCCAGCTTGAAGCGTTGACACTCTTAAAATATTGCACTTTGTGATGTTTACTTCTTTAGCTGCTGCATTTTTTGATTACTTGCATTTGTTTTCTGTAATTGAATACACCGACTTTGATAATTTGGTTTTATTTGGAGATTGAGGTTGATGAAAGACTGGGTTGAAGTAGATTAACAACTTCATTGTACAATTTTGTGGTGCCTAGTTTGAATTCTACCAGTGGAGCTTAAATGTTTATCTTTGTTAAGAAAAAGAGGGAGAGAAAATGCCCTTCCTCTTCCCTTTTCTCCCTTCTCCTGATAAGTGACAGCCAGAATTTTCAATTCTTTGTAAAATTTCTTTAAAGTAGTTTCTTAACTATTAGTTTCCCACCTATTTGGTATTGCCCATTATGTCTTTATATAATAACATCATAATCTTGTATTTGTTTTGGCGAGCTGTGGCAATTTGGGGTAATTGTTCCATGGATGCAGGGTCTTCGAGACTTGTGTTCCCCAGTTTCTGAGAGGTGATACCAAAGCTCATTCCCATCATCCCATGGTACTTTGGTCCAAAATTTGGTAAGTTATACTAAGATGATATATATTTTATGTGATTCCAATTTGGTTCCTTTAGTATCCTTTCATAGTATTCAGATATGATGTTCTTTCTAGCCATTGGCAATTCCTTCATTCAACCTATCTATTTTTTCTTATGGAAAATATGACTGTTGCACTAGCTTCCAAATTAATTAAGCTCATATTGATGCGCAAGTGATCTAAATTAATCTATGGGGTCTTAAGCATTTGCTTACATGCAATACTTCATGCAATCTTCAAATTTTTGGAAATAGCCAAATCACTTGAGTTCCTCTTTGACTGTTGGATGCAGCTCGTTAACAGCTTGTTTTTGGTAAAACTACTACAGTGATGCGTGAATTGTTCAAGTATTTAATCAATTAGTTTGTTTCTCAAAGAAAATCTCCCCTTTCACATCAATTTACAGCTCCCAAATCTCTTAGGATTACAAATCGCATCAAATTTGATTGTTTGGAACTCAGAGAATAGATTATAGATGAAGATTTTGGCATGTTTTAAGGGCAGGGTGATTAAACTAGTAAAATAAATGCAGGATATTATGGGGTTTATAGACTGAAGTGGAATGAATATAAAAGCACTACCAGCATCACACTAGTAGGATTTATAGGAAGAATACCTAGAAGATAGAAAACCGCATCACACCTAAGGTTCTTTGGCGTCACACCTAATATAGTTGCTCAACACCTAAGATAGGTTGCACTACACAGTCTCAAAACATATACTGAAATTCTTTTTCATTAATAAGTTCATTTAAAAGTTTTGGGTTACTAGCGTCTAAGAGTAGATTTGAGGGTACCCTGATAGAGGTGCACTAAGGAGGCGCTCCGAAGGTGGAGGCAGCTGGGCTTTCAAGTACTTAATAGTGTAGTAGTTGACTGGTACAAATTACCCCTGTTTACGACAATGACAGAACTGCCCGTGACAGTTCAGGCCCCAGGATCCATCAATAGGAAGTCCCGAAGTCTAGCCAAATAGGCATACTGGCTTTAGAGTTAGGTTTGTCCATCTTCAAAAATCACATGAAGATATATGGATTTGAATTGCTTCAGTTTCTGCACCTTAATGATGTCACTGCTCAAAGTTCACCACCCAGTATTTGCTGTGAATTTTCTCACAGGTCGTTGTGGCTTGGTTTTTAAAGCTGACAATTAGCGTGGTAGATGTTTGGCTGTCCTCATTGTAAAATTGCTATCCAGGTTTGGGAAAATGTACTCTAGCCAATGCAGAATCCTACAGCCTGGAGCAGCTGTCCTTGCCAGTTTTACGGCCAAATCCGCTTCTGTGAAGCAAATTGGTTTTCGAGGTCTGCAGCAATGGATTTGACATGGCAGCTCACATGCTGAAATGTAATTTTTTGCTGTTGTTTGTTATGGAAGTCCTCACTTTTGTTGGCATTACAATGAAAAACTCAATTAAGTACGAAAAATGGATTGATTTAGCTGTTTCCCCCTGAATTTCTTAGTTTCTCACCTCTCTCTCAATTCACGTTGGTATGCATGTTGGACAACAAAGCATCATGACAACAGCTATTGCAATTAGTTGTGTTTTCAATTAGGAAGAAAATACCCTTCAAATCTCTTTTAATTAAAAGAATGAGAAATGTGTGTGGGTGTGATACTAATTAAGCTAACTTAGGTGAATAATGATATAGGAAATCAGCAACTTAATATTCAGAAAGCTGACTCCAAATCTCCACGGCACTACACGTTCGATTTGTTTATGAAGTCCTACATATGCTGCTGTGAGAATGATGGTCATCTCATTTTTAGATGTTGTTTCAGACAACTACTCAACCTTTTAATCCAACTTCTCTTTTACAGGATCTGCCGTTCCAGCTCCGAGGCCGATTAATCAAAGCTCGAGTTTGACAGTGCTTTTGCTTTGTTTTGGGTACATTTCTCAAGAAAATAGAGTTTTTTTTTTTTTTTAATATATACACACCATTAAAATCTCTCTTGACAATGCAAGAAATAAGCTGAGAAATAGAAGAAAACAAGAGAGAAAATTTTGTTTGTAAAATACAAAAAATGTGTAAAATATTTCTTCTTTCAATCCCTGCTGAAGCTTCCTTTCTTCTCACGTTATCCAACTATTCATAGCAATTCCTCGTTCATAACCAATTCTTGACCTCAGGAACTAATTTCAAAGTGGAAATTGCAACTAAACTTCTTCCCAGATAGAATCTCCATCAAACAAACAAATTTAACCATCGAATTAGCCCTGCTGTGATAGCTATGTCCCCTTTCTTCATGATTTTTCGATCCATAATTGCTACAGCATGTACCTTAAATGGTCACTAATCTTTCTCTTCAGCAAAGAGACATGAAACACTCGATGAAATTGGACTCATTCTGGCAGCAACTTGTATGCTATTGTCCTTATTCGCCGAATTATCTTATAAAGTCACCCTGGATTCAAGTTTATATTATTTTTAAGGGCTATAATAGTCTGTCTATATGGTCATAACTTAAGAAACACTCATTCTCCCACCTGAAAATCTCTTTCTGTTCTGCCCTTTTCAATCATTTGTTTCATCCTGTTTCTAGCCATACGCAGTTGCCTCTATAGACTATGATCCAATTCTTTCCCTTTTTGTAACATATCTTCCACAACAACAACATAAATCATCTTTGATCCAACCATTTTTGCAGCAAGAGATGGATAGCCATAAACTATCTAAAAAGAGCTCATTTGTATTGGATATTAATTTGTATTGTAGTACCAATACACCCTTGATTAATGGTGATAAACAATACTCATGTAGAGTATGTGTCATTGTCTGGGGGAATCCATAGTCATGCATCTTAGGTAAATTTTAAAGCATTAGTTTATTTTTTTTATTGTTCATCAGATTAAAGGTAATAGGCAATACTCATATAGAGTTTGAATAACTTTATCCAAAATACACTAATAAAAAACTTATCCTTGTTAGCAACAATGATAAAAGGCAAGCCATGAAACTTATAGAAATGTTTCAATAAAATCTAAATGATGGTCTTGGTAATGAAGATGTGTGATGAAGCAATGAAGTAACTTTACTTAGTGAACTTATCCATAATAACTAGAATAATATCATTCCTTTCAGATTTTGACTATCCTTTTATAAAATCCATTATTATGTCTCTTCAAACTCTACTTGGAACTGAAAGTGGTTGTAATAGCTTAAGATAAACAACTTTTTTCTTTAACTTTGCTTGTTTATAAGTACCAAATTCATCCACCATCTATTTTACCATCTTCTTTATAGAAGGCCAATAAAATAAGACTTTCAATCTTTTATAGGAATTTTGAACACCAACATGGCCTTCTATATAAGAATCATGAGCCACTTATTAACTTTTTTCACAAATTGCCCTTAATTCAAATAACAATTTTGCCCTTACATCTTAACAATCCATCCACTAAACTATATTCATGCTAGCTATGAATATTTACCATCTGATCAATTATAACTTCTTGAAATTGAGGATCATGTTTGTAGGTGTTAAAAACCTCATTATATCGTGATGAAACTACTACTAATATAGCATTGAAACTTCTTGGACTTGTCATAGTTGTTTTTTAGTAGTTGTTATCCCTTCTTAACAGTGCATCAACTACCTTGTTCTTTTTATCTTTTTCTGTATTGAGTTTGATATTATAATATTAGTAACTTTATTAGACCATTCTTCTGAATAGTTGAATGAATATTTTGGTCTAGTAAATATTTTAAACTCTCATGATCAGTCTTGATGATAAACTAATCATGCTCAAGATATTGTCTCCACATTTCCATAATTATTAATATCGCCAAATACTCATTTTCATATATTGACAACCTTATATATTTGGCATATAGAGCCTTCTTGATAGAACACTACCCTTAGTCTTAATGCACAAGCATCAATTTCTAGAATAAACAACTTAGTAAAATCAAGTGATACAAGGATTGAAGTTTCACACAAAGCCACTTTAAGCTCTTTAAAAGCTTTTTAGGTAGTACTGTCTCAACAAAACTGTTCTTTTTTTAGCAAATCAATCAATGGATTGCTTATGATACTAAATCCTCTTATAAATTTCTTATAATATCGTACTAACCCTAGAAACCATCTAAGCTTTTTCACTATTTATGAAATAGGCCAATTCCTTACTGCTGTGGTCTTTTTTTAGTCTATTGCAACCTTTCAAGCTGACACAATATATCCCCAATACTCCACTTGGGACTAAAAAAAAACACCTAAACCTAGATTTTTTAGAAAATAAATAATGATTTCTTAATGCTTGCAACACATTTATGAGATGATTGATGTGTAGCTCTAAGCTTGAGCTATATATCAAAATATCATAAAAAACCAATATGAATTTCTGAGAAAAGGTTCCAACACATTATTCATTAGAATTTGGAATATTGTTGGAGCATTTATAAGACCAAAATGCATAATCTTGAGTTTATAATTCCTATAATGAGCATGAAATGTTGTCTTCTTAATATCACATGCTTACATCCTAACTTGGTGATATATAGACTCCAAATCCAATTTAGAAAAATATTGTGATCTATATAATTCATTCATAAGATCATCTATTAGAGATATTAGAAATTTGTTCTTAATTGTCAATCTATTCAACTACTAGTAGTCCACATAAAATCTCCAGCTACTGTATTTTTTTTTAACTAATAATATGAGTGTTTGTTTTTAAGGTAGTTTTTGTGGTTATGATTTTAAAAAATAATTTTTAAAAAAATATGGTTAACTGTAGTTAGTTGGATTTAGATACGTGTTTGGTAAAAATTATGGATAAAGTTTATGTGTAACAAAAAACATGTATAAAATATTTGGTGGACGTGTGGTTGGGTTGTTTCTAAAAGTGCTTTTTACATAAAAATATATCAAAATAATATTTTTTTTATTTTTTAAAAATTAAAAATATATTAATTTGAAGCAAAGAAAAAAATATAAAAAATGAAATTTTTTCAAAAGCGCTTTTGAAACACAAAAACAAACAGGATTTTATGAAACTCAATTAAAAAAGCATGTAAAAACTATTTCACAAAAACTGCATTTTAAACTCAATTTTTTAGTAAGCCTTGCATTACAAAACGCAGTTTGGTTTGTTACCAAACACTTTACTGTGTTTGTTTCACCACAAACGCAAAAGTTAGTGAAAAACAAACGCAACCTAAGAATGCAAACATACTTGTGTTATGTTGTATTACCTCATTTACCACCATCTCCTTTACTAGTCTTTGTATTTCATTCTTGTGTATAAAGGAACTTTTATACAGTATGATGTTCACTGGTTTGATACTTAGAATCAAATGGATTCTGTGATCCAAAGCTTTCTTAGGTGGTAACTATTTAGGCTTATAAAAAACTAATATAAACTCCCTCAACAATGCTTTAATCTTAACATTCATTTTCTTATGCTATAATTCTTCCTCAACTTCTAATGAAAATAATTATCACACTAAGCCATATATTGCCTCTTTTAGACTTTTCTTTACTTTGGATGGTGGAATGAATTATAGATGAGCTTCCTTTATAATAACCTTAAACTCAATCATCTTTATTTATTTTATGAAAGATAGCTTTATTTTAATAAAATTAAACAAGATTGGTCAATAAATTATTAATCAATCTACTCCTAACACCATATCACACATTTCAAGCTTCAAAATTCTTAAGTCAGCTTGAAATTTATATCTTTGCATCAACCAAACAAACCATGGACAAAATACACCAACACTTCATGACACTTCTATTAGCCATAATTATTGCCAACATAATGTTTTTTTTAATGACGGTCTTAATATTCTTAACCACTTTCTCATCTATAAATCTATGTGTATTTTCATTATCAATAAGAATTATAAGGTCCTGATAATTTCCTTCAATTCTTATTGTATTATATGCCTAACTATCAACCAATGCATTAAGAGACAACCTATACTCTTCTACCTGCTTTTTTCCTGCCATTATCACATTATTATCTCTTTCTTTTACTTCTAAAAACTCTTATCCTTCTTCTTCCTCCCTGTTTACTATATTTAAATTCTTTTTATTGCTTTAATGACCTAGTGTAAACTTCTTTCCACACTTGAGACACTGACCTAATTTTTTTTTTGTTCATATAATGTCTTAAGCATATGTTGTTTTACTAAATAGTAAACCATTTTTCATATGTGAAGTTTTAAAAGAAGGGTTACTTGGTGGTCTATCACTACTGAAAGAAGGAGATGCCCTGGAAATAACTTTATCCTTTTTTACTATTGTTAGATCTGACTTCTCTTGCCACCTTGTTTGATCAAACACTTGTATAAGAGTTATAGTTTTTAATATTTTCAATGTTGGCTTGATGTCATCTCTAATCTCACTAATAGAACTCGAAACATAGTATGATTCTGGTAATGAAAGATTGGAATTCATTATTTTTTTTAACTTTTATTTTTATAAGTTTATCCTAATCTTATTTCATCATAAATTTGGTAGATTCACCAAGGTTAACATAACCATTTTTTTCATTTTTTTTAATTTCTCCTTTTAATATCATGTTGGTTTGAGAATTAAGTGACGTGACTAAATGATTGATGTCTTGTTTCCAAGTGTAGGAGTGTCGAAGTAATAAATAACCCAGTAAAACCGGGATCGAACCACATGGAGGTTAACTATATAAATTATAAACAACAACAACAACAACAACAACAAGTTAAAGAGGAATTTAAGATGTAAGATTAATGTGAAGATTAAACAATAAAAACAAATGTCAAAGTTAGAGGATCCACTAATGATATTTCAAACAAGTATAGTATAAACTCTTTTTATTACTCAACTGGAAACCACACACAAATGAGGTTCCAATCAGATTATAAATAATTAACATAATTACATTAGTTATCTTATTTGAATAATGCTAATAATTATAAATATTGTCAGGTATTCATGATTATAACTTATGTTAACAACAAATTAAGTTCCTTTCAAAGCACAAGTGTCAGTTACATCATATGGTTGGGTTATGAAAGTCTCAAGTATTTGTTA